CTGCGCAACCGAATTACACTAGTAATGATATGCATCGAATCCCGGAAGTGAATTTATTTCTCGAAGTTTGTTATCGCGTCTAATGAATTGGTATGCAATTTAAGAACCGTAACGAGATTTACGACGGGAGGAAACTATAATAATATAAAAAAAAGATACGCAGTTGTTGATGAATTACTATAGCGCACAAAACAAAATGGTTTTCGTAATAAACTTATACTTAGGATACATTTCAATATTTCAATTTTTTTTTTTTATGAATTTCGATTTTTGACTAAATTTCATTTTTATTTCCTATGTGCCGCGCCGCTAAAAATAGCGTTTTCTCTGAACGCACAGAACTTCTTAAGTCAATATTTTTTTTTAAAGTGACGATAAAAATAATTATAAGAATTATTGCAAGTACACTTGGTTGTTTTTTGATTGCAATGTTTCAATATTTCGATAAAATTAAACATGAACAGTACTGAAACAACACATTTTTAGTGATTATTTCATTAAACCACGTTCGTTTTAGAATATGATAACGCATACACGGTTGATTTATGTTTCGATTATAATTTAAAGTATCTTCTGTATGCGCGTATTTTCAGAAGGCTGGTTTCTTAACAGTTCACTTTGTCGTGCTTGTGTAGGTTGTTGTTTTTTCTCATCTGCAGCAATCCCCCCTCCCACAATAAATTATAGGAACTTCTAACGGTCGGTACCTTAACCTTAACCTTTAATAAAAAAAAAAGATTCATATTTCATCTTCCACAAGACACTTACCATGTTTTTATCACTACAATGCCGTACCTACCTATGGATTTCCACATACTGTGTATTTCTATTGTAAACATTGTTGATATTCTTTTTTGAAACTAAAATACTTGATGATATTCAAATTAATTAAATAAATCCATACATTTCTTATGTTTGCATTGACAACTTTTTAGTGTTGATTCAGTTTAGTACAACATTGCATTTAAATTTATACTTATTGATTAATGATTCTTAATTAAGACATTTTTAATTGCTGTTTTTTTTATTCAATTCAGCCCAACAATAATCCATAGACAACTTGCATAGGATTAGATAATAACCGTTCAATAACTACAAAATCTATAACAATATTCAAAAATAAGTTGACGTCAGTAATGTTACGGGTGTTTGTGTATTTATAAGTTATAAATTTTGAATACAATACGTAGTGAAACTGTTATTAACATGGAGCTAAAGTCGCTTTATACTTAATACGAGTGTCCGGTTAACCCCTTGAAAAATTTAAACGCAATTTTATTTATGATGCAAATTACATGTTTTATATGTATTTTTGTGATCACCTGATGACATTTTTACATTACAAGTCTGCAGTTACATTTAAAACGTAATTTGATTTTTATGATTGTTATAATAAGTGACGTTATTTTAATATTTATTGCATAACCTAAAACGAATAGAGCCTGGTAGTTAGTGGTCATCCTTGACAATACTTTAGTCAGTAAAATTGAATAATATCGTCTTAGAAAATATGCTGAGTGTTATTGTTAGTAAAAAAAATATACTACATCGTTATGTGCACTGAGATTATATGGTTGAAAAATGTGATGTAGGAATTTTAGGAGTGGACACGTGTACGAATATAAGTGTTTTTATACATTCATACAAATAATTTATTATAAATAAATTATGTTAATCTTTGCTCCATCGTTCTGATAGATTATTGATTTTACAAAAGTAAAAGACGAATAGAAAACCTATTTGAAATTATAAATATTTTGCGTGCAAGTAATAATAATTATTACAATAATTATTATTATTGTTGAACGTATAAGTTGTTATTGTTTTTAAGCCTTAACATTTTATGACTTTTTTTTGTTAACTGTTTACAGGTTTTTTTATGTTTGACGTTGAATTATTATTAATAAAGATAAGTCACATGTAATAATGTATGTATTAAATTAATTTAACGTCATTAAGTAGGTACTCAATTTTTTTATCCTCGATCGAGTCTTGCTATTTTAGTACTCTCACTCCGTTAATGATTTGCTGTTATATTTAAAATATAGTTGTTACTTACCACTGTGGTCGCACATTAAATTTTGCATAATTGTAATTTGTAGATACTTGGACTATTACTCAGTCGAAATGAAAATAAAAATTATATATACTGATTTTCCATTATAAAACGTAATATTTATTTATTCGTACGAATAATCTCCTGTGCATTAATTATGCACCCAGTTACAACTAAATAGTACCGGGAGCGAAGGAACTCCGTTATAATCCATCGATTTTAACAAGCCGATTTCCGTGGGAAGCACTGCACGAGAGCTAAATACGAGCATTATTGACGTACCTAGCTGAAGTCCGACTGGTATTGTCGCGCGTGTACAATTGTAATCGGCCACCGTGCACGGGGAAACATGGTAATATTGTTATTGCAGTTATGTCAAACATAATGTTTTTTGTCGTGTACGTAGTAACGGGTGTGTCGATTGAGGGATAAAAAACTCACAGTACGCTACTCGATACAATCGCGATGAGTACGTACACGGCCCGGTGTTATATACTTGTGTTATGAAAAAACTACTTCATACTAAGAACAGTGTACCACGTGAACTCGTGTGCAGGTTGTCGGTACTTGATAAAAAAAAACGATTACATTATACACCCTAGGTATTCGAAATCAAAAATTGTTCGCAACACTCAATTACGAGACATCTTTGCCGTGCGTGTGTGTGCAGTGTAATTTAAAAACACACACACACACACACATACCTAATTTTTTTTAACACATATAATATGTATAACGTACACGGTAAGAGAACGCAATCCACAAGCTCCGTTCGGACGAAGTGGTTATGTGATTAGTTTACGTGTGTGCGTGTGTGCGAGTGTAATTCGTCTATGATTCTAAACACGCACGCACACGACTACAATGGCTACGGTTGCAGCAGAGCGCTGGTGTAAGGTTTCTCTTTTACATACGTTTGCCGCTACCGCCGCCGTGCTGCGATGTTATCTCTACCGAATTTTTTTTTTTCAATTTTTTTCGAGAAAAAAAACCACGCTTTCAGGAATATATTACGTATAAATTATATTAATTAAAATAATCTAGAATTCCAGGTTGGCCCACGCTTTTTTCACCTATTACAATAAATAACTATTAAAACATCCGCGTCCGGATTGAACGCGAGGGCGTCAGAATTATGTGGGTGTCACGTGTGTAGTGGTTTTTTTTCTTCATAAATACAGTTCTAACACGGCACACGCTTATACCGAAGTAATTTTCGATAGTAATCGGTGGATCCTAAGGGTTTAAGAGAAAAAGAAAAAATATTAGAAGACGAGAAACGTCCAGACATTACATTTTTTTTACGAACGTCAGCACGTGTACGCGTTCACAATCGAACCGCTGACGGAGAGTAAAATCGACAAAATATGGAACAGAAACAATGGTCATTTTTCGGTTTTTTTTTCCACATGAAAATTATTAAAACAATGTACTTATTGGTATTTCAGGACTGAAGTTGCTCACTGATTCATATTAAATCATTGTTTTAATTAATGTACACTGTAGGGTAAATGTAACGTTGAAATAAAATATTTGTCAACAACAACAATAATAACAACAACATGTTTTTTTTTTTTTGTTTCATTTATGTATAAGTTTGTTATTTACATCGTGAAAAATAATTTACAAAAATGTATTTTATATATGTATTCTACTTGGGCCTAAAAAGAATCTGTATAAATAATATTTAAATAATTAAATGATAAATAATATCAGCTATATACAAAAAAAAAAAAAAAAGAAAATACACAAGTGCAAAAAAATAAATAGTCAGGAGTTTTTATAAAATATATGTATAAGACTAAAATAATTTGAAGTAAATGAAGGAATTCGGTCGTTTTGGTATAAAAATGGTCGATATGATATCAAATGGACGATATATGTGTATATATAGTTGAAGTATCCAGTATGTGTATAAGGATGATTGACCAGTGATGGTTCTTGGTCTACGTTTTGTTGGCTTAACGTTTTCATGGGAAAATTGCTATTAAATAATTTGTTTTTTGATAGCTTTGGTGAAAGTGTAAAAAAAAAAACGAATTGTAGTTCATAATTTCAACCGGTACGGTTTTTTTTCATAAACGCATAAATCAATACACGTGTATGGGGGGGGGGGTATGAAGCGACTACGTGTAGAACGCAGTTTGTCATCTCGGCGGGTGTTGAAAACGAGTGAAACCCGTGTTCGTGCACTACGTGGCGGTCGTCCCTAATACGTACCCGCGGTAGGGTATGGCGAGTAACAGCAGGCGCACGTTCACCGCGCGGCGATGTGCACAAGTCGAACAACGAACGGGTCGCACCGCGATGACAGCGATGAAGCGTGCGCGGATTACCTGCTGTCATGCCGAAAACGCGAGCAGAAGGGACCACGGGCACCGGTTACCATTGTCGGTCGTATCACGATCGTCCGATTACCAGGAAGTTCTGGGCAAGCTCTGGTCGGCAAAAAAGTCGCCGAAAACGGCAACGGATGGCGAACCGAGATGTTCCCTGGGCCACGTCCCGGACACGCGTCTACGAGAAAAGATCGAACACGGTCGTCATGTCGCGGGACGCGGCGCGTGGCCGAAACGTTAGCATCGCTTGTTTTTCGTGCGAACACGTTCACGGCACAACGTAACTTTATATACACGCGCACGACATGTCTATAAGACTCTTAACATCTAATTGGTCGAGAGAAAAAAAAAATCCGTGTTTTGTACATTAAGACTAGTAGTGCGCAACGAGTCATCTGACTCGTAAAATTAATAATAATAATAATAATTAAGGTTGTTGGTAGGCGTGAGGAAGAAGATGAGGATAAGGAGGAGGAGGAGGAGGAGGTGAAGTAAGAGGAGTATGATCAGGAGTAATAATAATGATAATATAAATCATAGCCGTTTATATGCATGTATATAAATGTAGTCGTTCCGTGTAATTGTATAGTTGTGTTGGACTTTTGTCATTCGGAAACGTCGGTCGCGCAACCACAACCGCACTCGGTCACCACCGGATACTCCACCTTGATCCACTGGCACGTCCTGATGGAGTTCAGCTGTCCGGGCACCTTTGTGCCGGGCAGCGAGTTGTATTGCTGTAACATGGCCGACGCGCCGCCGCCCGCACTCCGACAGTGCCACCGCAGCAGCGTCTTGAACTGGTTGTCGGTGGCGTGGCAGTACATTCCCGCGGGCACCGAGCATGACATTTCGCCCTTGGGGCAGCGGCCCTCGAGCAGCCATCGTGGCCAGAAACGCTGGCCCAGGTCCTTCCATTGCCGTTGCACCGGGCACGTGGTCTTGCCCCACAGGTACTGCTGGATCTTCCGGCGCAGCTGACCGGATATCCGGGTCCTCAGCCGCCGACCGTCGGGAAGCGTGAAGTACTTGGTGTCCAGTTCGCGGATGCTGGCCGGCATCTTTCCGGTCGGCACCAATCGGCCCCTGCGGTTCCTCCTGCGCAACACACAAATGATTCCGTATAGTCGTACACCGTTAAAACAGATGTCTGTGGATATTACGGTGTTTATATCATGTTTTGGGTAAAATGAATATCGTGTAAACGTACAGAAGTAAATCCTTATGCATACCGACTCAACTGGGATGGGAGCGCAATTCGATTCAGCCATATTTACAGCGATACATGGGATGAATGGGAGCGACAAAGGTTAACTTTATTACGGATACACCCCTAGGTACGGGCTCCCTGAAGATGTAGAAGGATTGACCGTCCTCGAATATGGTTTTAACGATGAATCAAACGTGGTTAAGTATAGGATTTGGTTGAAACTCGATGAAAATCTATTGCTATCGTGTCCTTTCACGTAGAAATTCTGAGCATGTAAATATGTAGTTGCATCATAAACATATCGGTACACCCGAAACGACCGCTTTTATTTTTCTCACAAATTAAATACCCATAGGCGTGCGCACGGGGTTGGCCGGGTGGGCCGCGGCCTCCCTGTGAACTCTGGCTTTTTCTTTAATAAATTTATATCTATACTATACAAGATAGCGAACATTTTTACATTTTACATGAATAAAGTAAAGCCAATTTTAATCTTATAGTATAGAATTGATATCTGTGAATAAATGTAATAAAGTTATTGGTTATTAATCAGACTAATCAGAACTTGCATATAATATAAAAATTGAAGATGTAATTGATATATTCAAAAACCTTACTTCCGTGGACGGAAGGATGGAGTTGTAAATAATATAATAATATGTAAATAAGGATTTCTTAGTTATAAATTGTGTAAGTTTAAATAGTATTTATTTTTATATTTGCATATTGAATTAAATAAATAATTTATAAAATTTAAAATATTTAATTATGCTAGCAGTTTTTAGTACAAGAGAATCTTTGGTTCACTTTTTTTAAGGCCCCCCCCTGCGGAAAAAGTCTGCGCACGCCTATGTAAATACCGAACATTTTTCGTGATATTACTGCGATATCAAATGTAATAATATTCTAAATATATTTGTATCTACATGAATTCAGATTCATCACTGGTGGGCAAAGTAGTAATACATAATCCACAGTTTTAATTCTGACAAGGATAAAAGAAAAATGTCCTTAATTTCAGTGAGATTGTAATAATTTCCCGGAGAAATGCTTCTTGCCGCCATAATCATTCCCGTGGAAGTAAACGTTTAACTATCATCGTTCTATCAATACTATTGTTTGTGGGTGCATAATAACAAGCACAAGGTGTACGTCGACGTTTTTTGCGAGAGGGAAAATGCACTACGTGTGTGTTCAATATTTTGCTCTTATTATTAATATACTATTTATTATAAAATCGGCGATATAGTATATCATACGATATTAAATCACGTGCGGTAGTTGAATTCGTCTGGATGTATTACGTACGAGTACAATGCGATGGTCGATGATGATACTGCGCGATATTATCGATTGTAATTTATATGACTGTGGATCCTATAAAATATAATGTATTAGTGTTGAACGTATTCTACAACCATCCGTAGATGCGTAATCGATTTGAATAAGTGTAAACAATTGCGGGAAATTACATTTGAATAATCAATTCACTAATTTAAACATTATATGCACAGTGCATTAATTAACATAACGTGTTATACCATTGGCAATGTAAATGAATATGGTATTTTCCCATTTTTTTTATATATTTTTTTTTAAGTAAAACCATTAGTTTATTTTACTTATTTTACCCGTGGTATCTTATATTTGTTATCTTGGTTTGGAAATATGCAATATATGTAATTAATTTATAAACTATCACATTGTATACAGAGTTCTAACCGTGTAAAAACGATAGTCAAATAAAAAAAATAATTGTTCAACGTATATTAATAAATTCGGGAAACAATTTTTTCACGTTGTTATATATATATATTACGTATTGGGTTAGTTACTTTAATTTAAAAAAAAAAGACTAATAAGTTACTTTACCCGTTAATTGTTACTTAAATGTAATTAAGTATAAAAAAAGTAACTACGTCATCTTCAAGTTACAATATAAAAAAAAAAAACGTACATCACACCAGCCCCGCTCACAAGGAATTTGATAGAATTTGCATATCCAACTATGCTAATATTTAGTATCCAATTAGTACGAATTTGTACGACCGTCAGCCAAGTCAAATTTCTAATCACTTTTTTGAAAATTCGGTTATCGCGAATACGGCGTCACCCTGGCCCCGCCCACACATCAACTTTTTAAATGTATGCAAATATTCTTATGTCAATATTTAGTATCCAATTAGTATGCATTTGTACGACCGTCCTCAAAATTCTAAAATTGTCTATTCGGAATAATCCTCAAAGTGAGGTGGCCTTCAAAATGACTGTTGCTGTACTATCTGAAATACACTTACTTATTTTATACAGATATTCCGATGTCTGTAGATTATGATGGAATTGAATATAGGTACTCTCCAATTCAGAATATGTATAATATAATTTAAATTTTTTACCCATTCAAGTATCTAATACTTACCTCTTTAGCATCATATTTTTAATTCAATTGCAGTCATTATTATCATTCCAATAAATCATTAAAACCATAAATAATTTGTTTGAGTTTGATTTTACGAAAATTCTTATAAAAAAAAGTATAAATCAATAAAAAATTATAATCTCTGTTTCTATATTTAAAATATTACATAACTTTTTTTATAAATAAATATTAGTACCTAATATCATTAAATGTGTAAAACTTTTACCTTTATGGTCAGGGATAATGATCCCGATTTTTAGATTAGGCAATGAAACATCAAATTCAGTAGCAGTTGAGTCTAGTTTTAGAAAATTAAAAAATATCACTTTTAAAAATGTTTCTTTGCCCACAAATATTGAAAATTTTATTGAACATCACATTGCGTCACTAAAGGGTTCTTCGCTATTAAGACTTAATCGCTACATGCCCGTATCAATTTCAACTGAGGACAATTTTACCACAGTAATAGATGATATAGACGATTCATTCGACAATGTGGTAGTTCAGTCAACAAAATCTGGCAATAACAGTGATGAAGTGAGCTGTCTTTTATGTGTGTCAGGAAGTTTACAAACCGAAAACAGATTCCTTAAATGCAATACCTGTGGTATTTCAGTACATGCCATCTCTTCTTGTCCAACACACAAACAAGGACAAGATAATGAGAGAATATGTTTAAAATGCTCTAAAACTGATACTACGATGGCCACGCATTTGTCCGAGGAAAATATAGCTGTGGAGAAATGGAATAAAAAATCAAAAAAACAACGTAATTTTAATTCGTATCTTTGTTCTAATCCAAACTTACGGCATCTCCAAATGAAAAATTCAAAAACCATTCAATCTTTACCGTTACTAAAAAATGGTTCTCGTGCTAAAGAATTAAAGAGTTGTTCAATCTCAAACACGGGTAAAATTATTATCACCCAGTGTGCACTGGATGTTTCAACACATCCCAGAAACAAACATATTACGTAGTACAATCAACGTAACTTTTTAATATGTATACAATGTATCTATTCTGTCTAAATAAAACAAACATTTAACACTCATCCTGGCGATATAACTAGGCATTATATGATAGTACAGACCTACAATGTTATAAATTATATGTCACAGGGTTGTTACATTATTGTGATTTGTAATACGTACCAGTAAAATAATATTGATGTTTCAGTTTTTCACAAAAAAAAAAAAATATACTATTTTAAAATAAATAGTTTTGCACTCTATAAAAATATACTCTATTGGTTTTACCCATAAGCTAATATATTTAAATATACAAGGGGTATCAAATCAATTATTTATAAGAGTAATGTCCGTATGCATACTATTTGATGTGTCACGTCATAAGACAGTTTTAGACTACATGTCTTATGTTGATTAAAAAATAAAAGTAACTAAACTTAGTTAAAAATCAGTTACTTATTTTGTCATACATAATGTGCTCGTATGGTAGTAAAGACAGAAAACCATCGATTTCCATTCAGTTTAAATATCGTCCATTATAAACCTAATGTCAATATGATTAGGATAGCCGATAGGTAGTAACGCGTAGGATTTAGAGACCCGTCTAGGTAGATATGTCGGTGTTCGGAGGTCGATACCCGCATACGAGTTGTGGTATTTTATTATAATTGTTTCCAATTATTAGTAGGTTTCATTGTTTGAATATGACGTTCTAACTATGTTTACAATGTAACCCAAATATAACTTTTTGTTATAAACATTATATTGCAGTTGCAGGTATGTTAGAAATTAACAGATTTAAAACGTTGATGATTAGGTTGCAAACACCGGACATTAGCAGTATCAGGGACATCATATTAACGCAAATTCAACATTCAAATTAATGTTGCATATTATATGGAAACATACCTTGTATGTTTATAGTACACATTATTGCACAGGGGGCAGTAACACGTGTGCATTTGATACGATAACATCAATTTTAATGGTTGCTTATTGTGATAGTAACGAATACAATTCCAAAGTTGATGAATGTGACAATTCGTTACTTAAATTTATTGCAGGATTGGTAAAAAATGGCATAAATTCAAGAACTTACTCAAACAGAGATGATTTAATGGTAATATAACATCTTTAAAATAAATTAAATGTAAGGTAATTTTAACTACTGTAATGCTTTTTACTATAGATAAAATATTTAAATCCAAAATTAGAGAAATTGGCATATGGTACAACTTTGGCAAAGTGTGAAACTACAGCTATCAATATCCTGCACAAAACATTAAAAGATACGCCATCTGCATTTGATAGTATCAGTTGCAGTGTCCAATCGTGTGGAAGAAAAACAGAAATAAAAAAACCAGTTTTATTCTTTACTTATTGTACGAACAGTAAAGATTTACTGAATGGATTACAAAACTTCATAGCTCAAAGAACGAGTGATGAAACAAAAGACTGCAGATGGCCAGATCATAATAGTGAGCCATGTAAAGGACTACAAACTAGATTGACCCATATTTCAGAGATGCATTTGTTCATAGACATATTAAACTGAGAAGGTATAATAATTTTTTTATTATATTAATAAATTTAATTTAATTAAAATAAATTATTCTTATATATTTCATTTTACTTTAGGTGGAGATATCATAAATATCAGTACTGATACTTTGCCTCAACTTAACCTTAAATTAGAAGAGATTCCAGAAATACTTATTAACTCTGGAAAGACATACGAACTCAGAGGCGTTGGTTGCTTTCGTTGTGGCCCCAGTAATTTAAGAACATCAGTTGGTCATTACTTTGGATATTGCAAACGTGGACAAAAGAATTGGCAATTATATGATGACTTACAATCTAATGTAAAATATGTTAATGAACGTACAACAGTACCATGCGAATATTTAGTATATACTGTTTAAATCTCAAAAATTGTCATAATCATAATTTATAATTATTTATAAAAAAATTTATGTAATATTTTAAATACAGAAACGGAGATTATAATTTTTTATTGATTTATACTTTTTTTTATAAGAATTTTCGTAAAACCAAACTCAAACAAATTATTTATGGTTTTAATGATTTATTGGAATGATAATAATGACTTCAATTGAATTAAAAATATGATGCTAAAGAGGTAAGTATTAGATACTTGAATGGGTAAGAAATTTAAATTATATTTTACATATTCTGAATTGGAGAGTACCTATATTCAATTCCATCACAATCTACAGACATCGGAATATCTGTATAAAATAAGTAAGTGTATTTCAGATAGTACAGCAACAGTCATTTTGAAGGCCACCTCACTTTGAGGATTATTCCGAATAGACAATTTTAGAATTTTGAGGACGGTCGTACAAATGCATACTAATTGGATACTAAATATTGACATAAGAATATTTGCATACATTTAAAAAGTTGATGTGTGGGCGGGGCTGGGGTGACGCCGTATTCGCGAAAACCGAATTTTCAAAAAAGTGATTAGAAATTTGACTTGGCTGACGGTCGTACAAATTCGTACTAATTGGATACTAAATATTGACATAAGAATATTTGCATACATTTAAAAAGTTGATGTGTGGGCGGGGCCGGGGTGACGCCGTATTCGCGAAAACCGAATTTTCGAAAAAGTGATTAGAAATTTGACTTTGCTGACGGACGTACAAATTCGTACTAAATATTAGCATAGTTGGATATGCAAATTCTATCAAATTCCTTGTGAGCGGGGCTGAAGTGACATCACCCCAACCCCGCCCACATAAAAAATAAAATACTTCACAAACTAATGTCATACAAATTTCGCGAAGGGCCATACAAATTCATACTAATTAAGTACTAATTATCTGTATAACTTTTTTAGTAAATTTTTAACTGGGCGGGGCTGGTGTGATGTACGTAAAAACAAAATGTATATATACATTTATCACTACAATAATTTGTCTAAATGTTTTTAAATGTAATAAGGAACCAATATATTTTTATTGAAAAATTTGTGGGATTGCAAGATATATATCTGTAGTGCGTTATATCAGAGATATTATCTACTTACATAAAATAAATTTCTAATAAATTTTCGTTACACAGTAAAAAATTGTAATGAAATTACGTAACGCAGTACTTTCTGTTACTTTATAACTAAAGACCGGATATAATTGTATTATAAATATCTTAAAATTGCACTAAAAAGATGCCAAAATTGCAATATAAATATGTTAAAATTGCAATGAAAAATACATTAAAATTATATAGTAAAATCATATTAAATATATTCATTAATTACTTACTTAAATAATATTATGGAAATTAATATAATATTTACAAAATATATCATTTTTTTTTTTTTAATTACAATTTATAATTATATAGATTTCTAAATTATGTTCTTGAAAATAGTATCGTCTGTTACTTAAAATATGTTTTTATAATGAAAACGTACGTTCAACGTCTACAATTGTTATCGTTGCATATTTAAAATAATTTAAAAAAATTGATGTTATATCTAAATTAGTATTTTTATTTCCTTTAATAACCTCAGAGTAAGTTTTAATAATTTTATATCCTTCATTTTTTTCTAAAACATATTTTAATTTATCTTTAACTATTTTCCTATGGGACTGGGAATATTTACCGAAATATTTTCAATTTCACTAAATATGTTTAAGTTATTAAGTGATTGATTATTTAATTCTTCTAAACCTGTGAGTTCCGTGGATAACTCAGATAAATATAATTTTAAAAATGCTAAAAACATTTAAAAGTTTACGCTGTAGTTATATTTTTATTTTAAAATTACTTTAGAAATAATAATTTGTATATTTTATGAAGTGAAGTATACAAAAATTGCAATAATTGCAAACGTTGCAACTTCGTTGAAAATTTCAAAAAATTGCATTATTAAATTAAATAGGAAGACTGTAATTAATTCGATTCGTATACATATTTGGTCAGATTTGATTAACCTGGTATCAATAAAAAGTTACAATATCAATTAAATCCGGTCTTTATTTATAACTATTACCAAACACGTAAATAATATATTTATATATATATATATATATGCATATAAATAAAAGATTATTTGAAAACGTAAAGGCAGCTTAGAAGTATATAAACTTAAAACAAATAAAGCAAATTAATTGAAGGATTAGCATCAATACCGTACAGCGCTGGTGGGAGTTCGGGCTTTATAGTCAAGCTCGTCTCGCCTTGATCACTCGTTGTATTAAGATTTACTAAGATTTGCTTGCATAATTTCACCGTTTCGCTGGTTTTTTTTTTTGTTTTTGCAATTTTGCAATTGTTGAAAATGTAATGATTTCGTCATTTGCTGCAGTGGATTTTAAATATGAATTCGATTTTCAATCGATAGTATTTTTACCAACTTAAAAGTAAGTCCTAATAAAAAATTGAAAAAAAAAACACACACCGAAGAATGGATCGTATTTAGTTCAAAATCTAAATGGCGAATCTTACAAACCAAGCAGGGATGAATGTGGTGAAGAAACACATAACTCGCCCAGCAGTAAGTTATTTTAGGGTTGTACATTGTAAGAAATGACGTGCGTATGCCGTAATACAAATAATACGATATACACATGCGTGCGTATATCGTTTCGACGAAATAGATTGTGAAATCGGTAAGCAAATAAATGTATGCACATATTCATAAAAGGAAAGAAATAATTAAACATATATTCTTTGTATTATAAATGACGAAAATAATGTTTATGTTTTTTTAAACTACGAATCGAACTACAAACATATATTACAGTCAACGAGCATACAAACGTTTTACATCGAACTTCGTTTACTGTATATTATGACACTTGCAAGGTTAAAAACGAAAATATACACGTTATTTGAGAATTATTTTCTTGTAACAGTATACCCGTATAAGATACTATTTCTTAAACTGTACTACTATGCAACGAGAACATTGTGACGTAAACATCGATTTGATAAGTTTATAGTGAAAAAGAAATCATCTACCGATGTGTAGTAAGTTTTATGTGCTTATACGGGATATACCACTCGTATATATAGATGTAATGTACGAACGACGTACGTGTTAAAAAAAAAAATCATTACTGGATTCATGTACAATGTACATAGTAATTTTTTTGATGTGTGTAAAGTAATAGTACCTACAGAGCGATTAAATTTTATTTATTAAAAATTTTTTTTTTAGACGTAGTTTATAGATAATGAATACAATTAAAAATAATCACGATTACGCGTAAAAAGCACACGTGTCAAACTATTATCGAATCTTCCGTTCCGAGCATAAGAAACCAAGACAGTCGTCTAACCTACCAACAACTTGTTGCGCACGTACTGCGTATACGTATATTATATTACCATAGTTCGTAAATTCGGGTACTAGTATTATATCATAACGATATCATAATCATAAGTATATTAAACATTTATTTGTTAGGCGTGTTCAACGTTTTATTGCGTTAAATGTGAACGCGGTGTTATCTCGTGTTTAGACTGTATGCTTATTTGGTCCGAAGCACGTAAATAATTCAAATAAAACTAAAGTCCACGATGTATCTTACAGACACATTTATAGAGATTATGGTGCAAAAAGGTTGAACACAAACATTGTTTGCGAATTTTGGATCAACAAGTTATATGTTTTTGACCTCACTACGAGTAGAGTATTTTTACAAAGATAATAGATACTTAACAGGAAGACCTATTGCACAGTGGTATTCGAAATGTTGTAAAAATTAGTGGCGAAATTTCTTCTTGGTAAATTTAGCTATACGAATAGTATTGCTTTCTTACTGAATTTTTATGTGTTCTTCTCAGTTTTCATGTTTCTTTTAAACTCTACTTTTGATATAATTAGTTCTTTGAATGAAATGCCATTTAAAAATATAGTAATGATATCGTCAGTAAAAATACAATGGAAACCCTTTATAACAAAACATTTTTGTGAAGCATTTCAGTTAAATGTTGGTATATCAAGTTGAAACACACAATCAAGAGTGCCTTACGTAAATGCATCGCACCAATATTTATAGATAGTAAACCAAAAATGTTTCGTATCATATATTTGTACAGTAGATCATATTGTATTTGTTATTTTATATGATCATGACGGACGTGTTCAACCACTGCCGACGAAATATTAACTAAAATGTATGAAAAACGTTTGTTTCGAGTGTTTACATTATTTTCACATAATTTATTGCAATCTAATGAACCCGCTTGATTGAATATATTTTTGCTTTAAATATAAGTTGCGAAACAAAGATCTTATTGTACACAAGATATTGTTGACGCCGTAAGATAATATTATGTTCACGGAGCTACTTTGACAGGAGTCGGGAGTTGATATTCCACCAAGAGATGATCTTTTGACCGGTTAGCTAGTTACGACCCAACATCGTACCGCGATCCGCTTAACGCACTGTAAAACTCACCTGAAGGGTATGTCGGCGACAGGCATCAGATGTTCGGGCATCATGAAGCTCATGAAGTTCGGATCGAATTTGGGACCCAGTTTGGCCAGTAGGGCGGTAACGTTCAGGTCGGCGGGTTTGGGGTCCAGCGCCGGGTTGGGCATCTCGATGAGATCAGGGATGAGACCGGGGTCGTTGGATGGTATCGGCCTCAGGTCCAATCGGACGGACGTGCACATCACGGTGCGGCAGATCGAGCAACACGCCAACGCGACCAACACGGACCACCATTTGACAGTCATCTGTAGAACCGTGAAAAATATGTAATACAATATTTACACGCGTAGTTAGTCGTAGCAGCGCAGGGGTTACAATTATAAAACGCATTACAATATAAATGTTCGAACGTACTTGATATAGTTTTTTACATCGGCATAATACATATTATAATTATTACAAATGCTATTGATCGGTGTGCACGGGATAAAGCCTCTTGAGGTTTTTACATTCGAGTCCACAACACGCGTATATCATATAAGTGTGTACATCGCGCTTCCACGACCTACGTACTGTTGTACGAAACGTGTACGGTTTACCGCTGTCCACCCGAGGTCTTGATAGTTTTCAGTAAAATCTAGTTACGTTTTATTCTTTCGATTATCTAATCAAAAATCACTATCATTGTCCCACGCTCAGCTGATGAGCCGATTCGGTCCCCCTCGATACCGTCAGAGGATATGAAAATGAAGACACACAGCTCGTGCAGACAAAATAACGATATATATCGTTATATATCGTACTATATCGTACTGCGCGACGACGGTTCGAAAAAAAGGCCAAACGAGGCTGTTTTAACGTATTATTTCGTCCTGGTCCTGTAAGAACGTCCCTGGTATACGCCTTGCGCACGGTCACACGGTAGGAAAGTACAACCTACCAGTGGCCCATTGAACGTGACACGTGCATTTGTTTAATGCACGCGCACGCATGCACCGGGAAAGCGCAATAATCATTTGGTCGTCATATTCAAAACAGGAAATTCGCAATCGCTCCGCATGTCGCACACGGCACACAATGCATATTATAATATGAACAATAATCCACAAAAGGATAATAATGTCACCTTGTTGGTGTCCTATTATCCCCCGTCGCCAACGCCGCCACGGCACGGCTATTTATAATGATAATACACACGACGTAACTGTTTTGGCCGAGCCATTTTCGTCGTCCGTATGCTCGCGCGCGCACACGTTTCGATGTCAATATAATCCACACGAGTGGTGTTCAGCCGACAGACGTGTGCACGTATTGTGCGTACGATAAATGTACACACGTGTATAATATATAAGTGTACGAGTATCGCGCGTACTGGGTCATATAATATGGAGTTTTCCCATCTGCCGTCGCGTCTTTTTATTTTGTATTCTTTAAATCGCCTGTAATTTATTTCGAGTCACGTCGAAAAATAAAATTAAAAAGAAAAAAAAATAGTAAAAAAAAAATAACCCGAAGAAGAAACCCGACTGGATTCTTTGCCGGCACATTAACACCTCGGCTCGACGATCCGTTAACGATAATTCGTTCCGTCGGCCCGGGCCCCCACACCGCTCGGCGCGTCCGTGTGTCCCGTCCGGTTTTTTTTTTCCGTTTCGGATTCAACGTCAATCAACCGAAATCGTGTCCGAAAATCTCGGAGCCGACAAAAGGACTGCGCGCGCCATTGGCCTCGGCCCCACGCGGATGACTACGGCGATCACCACCACCATCACTATATTGTATACATAAGTATTAGGCGTACTGCGCACGGCGACCACTACCCAGGTACAATATAACGTGCCGCCGTAGAACTCCGTCCGCAGCGTCACCTCCGAAGCCGTCATATCTTCCTCCAGCCAACTCGATCCGCGAACCGAATTTTTTATTGTTATTATTATTACAACATTAATTTTTTATTTTTTTTTTTATCGTAAATATATCCGATTCCGTACGGCACGGCGAAACACGACACCCGAAAAGAGGCGAATTGCCGGTCACCGCAGCGTAAATGATCCTTCATCACCTCAACACCGAATACGAGATGAGAGTCTAAAGATCGTAATCCACGCCTTTGTTTATGCGCGCGTAACGTGGTTCATCCCCGCTGGTCGTTCGGTCGACGTTGGTTAGGATTTTACGTACATATTTAGTCAGCCATGTCGTACCGCCGTACATGTACAATGCGTGCAACGCGTACGTACATTATAGGCTATTTTGAAAAGAACGCAAGATTTAAATCAGCTATAAATAAAATTTTTTTCTTTTAAAAAAAAATAACAAATACATCATTCACTTCGGGAGAATTTAAGATTTAACAGTGAAAAACAATGTTGCAACAAGATTAGTCCGCCCGGAAACTTCTCACGCAGCAGAGGGATGTTTCTCTTGAAGTGTAAAAAGTTGCACCGTCTTGTTGTAACCATACAAGAATATCTACCGAGCTCAATAATTTTCTTTGACCTTATTCGGACCAAATGAACATAAAAAATGTTTGGTTTAAACTTGTCACATTTCGAGAGAAGCAATCCCTCTGCTAGGTGAGAAGTTACCGGACTAATCTCGTTGCATGGCCAAAGCTACCCCCTCGATTTTGCGACTTGACGCCGTGTGATTTTTTCTTATAGGGATACAATAAGTCACGAGTTTATCAAAACAAAGTTTGAAATATCTTGGAACTTAAGGAAGAAATCCGTCGTGTCTTTGACGAACTTGATGGGGCAATGTGTTATCCGGTGATGATAAATTGTATAGAAAGATATCTTCTATATGGGTAGTAGGGAAGGTTATATGCCCGATATAGTTTTTTACTGTTAAACTTTAACTTCTCCCAAAGAGAATGATGTATTTGTTATGTTTTTTTATAAAAGAAATTAATTTAATTTATAGCAGATTTAAATCTTGCGTTCTTTTTGAGACACTCTATAAATCTTCTATTCCCTGTAATTATGTATGTTGATAGAGATATTAAAATTCGGTTTTATTTTTGCTATTCCCTAATAACATTGAATACGCTAATAAAAAAAAAATTAATAAAAATTTAAAAAAAACGGTACATAAGTATCTTTAAATTTATGACAGGAAGTCTTGCAATTATAGTAAATCTTCACGTGACACTGCGTACGAAAAATTCGATATCGATCTTTTAGTAGTTCGACTTCAGTAGGTACCGTTTTTTTAAATTTGCATATTTCTCTTACTTGAAACGCCGTGATTCGTAGAAATAAAATTTCACAATTATTATCTTGACGACAAATGTTGGTGTTGTTTATGAATAACACTAATAACAAATATATATATATATATATTGTTTAAAAACACTTGGTGTACGAGAATAACGCGTTTTATGACCACCATGGGCATTAATTATTCCAAGACCATTAAGGATTACAATTTTTATTAAGTGACCAAGTACTCACACTTCATATAAAATTTAATTTAATTAAAAAAAAAAAACCGCTTATTTTTTTTTACATATACAGTTCGCAGGGATATGTATATAATTTTATGTACTACTTCAAGTTTCGTATTTAGTAAGAAGTTAGAGAATCAGATAGCAAATCATAATTTTTTTTTTTATTTCCCTTATTAAATAATTCAATTTTTTATTTTGTCTGAAAGGTAAAATATCTTTTATCTAACTAAAGCTACCGCAGATATTGCCTATACCTTTGTAGATACGGATAACGCGTGAAACGTACACGGATCCATACACCCAAAAATGCATTAGCTATAGAATTGTTCATCATCTAGTTGCACGTCATACTTGTGTATTTCCTTGTATAACTACAATATTATTATATATTGTTCTCGATTGACGGCAGTTAGCTCATTTTTACGATTTAAGGTCACGTGAATAACATTATTTGTTCATTTTTTCCTTTTTTCTTTTTTTTTTTTACGGAGAATTTAAAATGAAATTACAAAAAACGTGTAGCATACAATTAAATGATTTAGTTTACAACGGTAACAATCCTATAACTGTTAGGTAAAGCGGTTGTAAATATACAAACAATATTATAATATTGTATCGGTTACACGCATGATAACAGTTTCGCCGAATGGACCACGAAGCTACAGCAAACGAACACACTGGCGTTCACGTACGCATAGTACACAAGGAATACGTGTTATTACTATTATTACATACGTATATGCGTACATATACGGTATAAAGACGTTTCCTATTGTGAAATAATTACGGAACGAAACGCGACGTGGACAATAGGACGATGCGCGGTGTAGACAAAAAAAAAAAAAAGACGTCAAATCCAAACGGTTATTCGCTTTTTTTCCAGTCGCTCATTACACGCCTATCACAATTTTCACATAGAATCATCACATCACTGCGTGTTCTCTACGTAATATTCTATTCATTAACGCTCGGCGTCTTCGATTTTATTTTTTTTTTTATTGTTGTTTTTACGCGCATTATATTACAATATTATTAAATTTTTTTTTCGCTCCTCTCTCGGTACGGCGACGTACTATGGATAACGTAACGCCGCGCGATTAATTTGTTTCGCGTTCGACGGTGCTCATCCTCCGCGTGATTGTCTTTTAAACGCCAATGCTGCAAACAACGACGTCCTCTTGAGCGTGCGATATCGATGACGAAGCGCAACACACACACGCGCACACAATGGTAAAAATAATAAACAATACAGCACAGTCTCGAAATCGGTGGAAATATAATATAATACACATTTTAACGGCGCCCATAAAAACATCGGAATAAGTGTTTAAAAATTCATTACCGATCGTAAACATTTTTTAGGTGTTGACTAAAACGTTGTAAATACATGATTTAATTTATAGAGAAATCATAGATTCAACAGCTGACGCGACGTCGTAGGTTTTGCTTATAATAAAAAACGCCATTAAAAATATCCACGGACATAAATAGGACGTGGACACGGTCGAAATGTTTTTTTTCCCCTTTACTTTATGAATAATGGGGAGTATTAAACATATAGGTGTACCGTGCATATAACATTATACGTGTACCTAAATATATGTGTGTGTGTGTGTGTGTGTGTGTGTGTTGCGTACCGTAGTGTTCGTTTAAATTATTTCGTATGGTAGTTTCCGAGAACTTAGAATAATAATAATATATTCTTATGCTGTAGAATTACTTGGGGATATAAATCGTACGGTTAAGTGTCCACATTCCTACGGAATGATCCAGTTGTAAGTTAAGAATACGATTGAAGTTAAAACTCCCCGCACAATCTGTTTTCTTCCAACGAAACCAAATTAAGTTTATCTA